TGTCTCTGCTCTGAAATGAAAGCACACGATTACCCCTCTAATCAATCATGTCCTTTGTATTTATCTGGTTTGGTATGGTTTGTATTTTCATGATATCCTTTTTATTATAAGGAATTCAGACTCCTAGGTGTAGTCAAAGCTAGTTTATCAATGCACAAAAAGTACTGGTATCAATCAATAGCTTGTGGAAAGAGGCAGCAATGTTATTACTGCTCAGTGACAAATAACACTGAGTGAATGAGGTGCATATTTCCACAAATTCCTCTGTGAAACTAGTTAGATTTACAAATATGAAAGTACAGTGGCAAGATCTTTTGAATTGGTAAATGAGAGTAACTTTGCTGAACCTATTCCAGTTCATAGTATGGGGGTTCTTGGCACACAGAACAGACCATCAGTGTTCTATATACACCTTCCTGTCCTACCATATGTATAAAAGATGTATTATCTTAGTATGTATCATCAGTGTAAAGGGCTGTTATATAAATTTTATATAAATATATTTCTACTGCCAGTAGTAGAACTACAACAGCAGAAAACAAGTATAACAAAGACAAATCAAGTGCCATATGGACACATAAAATTTCAATGAAAATTAGCCTCTCCATCTAAACAAGTTAACTGACTCATCTGTAAAGACATGATGTACTGAAAGTAATAATTTTAATGAAGAAAGGAAGAATAAACCTCCACATTAGAACTGAAAACAAACAGTAGTGAAAGTAGTAAATTGAGCTAATAAGGTCCAGTAAAAAAATGAATCATCCAACCCAGCAGACAACATTTGAAAAATACTGAGTGGGAACATGCCACAGAGATGAGACAAAGTAAACATGTCATGTAGAACAGATGCTCAAAACAAACACAATGACAAAAATAATTTTATGTTAATCAAAGTCTCAAGAGAAAAAAATATCAAGCTATTGGCAAGTATCAAAGCAGCTGCATCTGGTTTTGGACAACAGAATTTGCAAAAATCACACCTGCAAATCCAGCCACAGAGGAGACTCAGGTACAACCTATGCCAATAATTCCTATACAGCTATCTCTAGTTAGCTGGCTGATAGTGTCTAACAGGGTTGAGTATCTGAATTCAAGAATGAAAACATTCACCTCTTCATAAGGAATTTCCAGGTGCATCATTTGCTGCCACAATCTTCCTATCAGAAGGGAACTGCTGAACTTCACCTTACCACTCTATACTTCCCAATTCAGAAAACCAAAGATAGACCATGGTCAGTCTTCAGCCTTCCTGTGTTACAGAAGCAATGTTAAACATGCACAACCAAGGAAAAATCTTGTCCAGTAATAGATGAGACCTAATCCATGAGGCCTGAGCAGCACATATCTAAGTCAGGAATTAGCACTCAGCAAAAGTAATGCCTCCAAAAATGGAATCTCAGAATAGAAAAACATTAAAACAGTGCAAAATATTCCTAATTCAGTTAAAGATGTTAACAAGTGTGTACACAAATATGAAATTTCAGAGGCTCTGAAATTTAAAAACTCATTCAGATGGTTACAGTTATGTTTGTCCATGATTATGAAACACAGACAAAGCAAAGTTGTGGTTCAGCAGAGCATAACTTGGTTTCTTTAGTTTCTGGAATCAGAAACTGGACTAGCTTTTAGCTCTGATGCAACATTAGAATTTTAACCTGAGGGAAATAAATTCTCCTTTTGATAATCCTGCTGTGATGATTATGTACTCCAAATTATCAACAACAAAGACACAGTCCTCATAACTGGAAATACAGAAGACTGAGGTTTGATCCCTCCTACCCGAGAGCCTGAAAAATAATTTCCCTCCTAAAACTGATTAATTTTTACAAGAAACAATAACGAGAGAGCTGCGATCAAGCAGAAGCATTGCAATAACACAGCAGACAATTTCCACCAGGGTTTAATGTTCCTCAGAAAGTAGAAAGAATTTTTGTTTTCCTAATTTTTTTTTTGCTATCAAAATTCAGCTTCCCTCTCTTTTTCAGAAATCATAGAAAAATAGAAGCTTTTCCTCAGCTTCATATTCACCATGGCAGAGGCTCAGCCAATAATGCAGAGAGTAAGTCTCATAATAAGAACACAGCAAAAGCCAACTATGGATATTTCAGAGGAGAAGGGGGAAAAAGACTGGGCCAAACATAACTAGTTTAAAGACTGAATCTGACCTCTAACCATAATGGATTTGGAATACTAATAGGGGCGAAGCTGAGCAATGGACACAGCTGGAGAAAAAAGCACCATGTGACCATGCTTATGCTCTCTGTCCATACACATCCTCATACACGCGCACAGAAACATATTCAGAGAAAGCATTCACGTGAACAGGGTTTCATTACTATTCTAAGCTATCTTTAGCCAAATCTTCACGATGTCAAAAAAAACAAGGCAGCCATAAAGCTGCAAGTCTGTCAGACAAACCTGTAAAAAACCAGAATCAATCCAGTAAAACACCAGACTTTGATGTATTTAAGTGCTTTGCTGAATTAAGGTGGAAGAATGTTTAAGAAGCTTTCAGATCTTTTCTGCTGCTTTTAAATGTACTTGCAACTGACTGGCATTTGAAACACTAGATTCCTGTTCACACATAATATTATAAGTGGCTTGGTAAAACACAAATAAAACTAATTAAATGCCATAGCTAATTTATTTAGTCACTTCTTGCAAGCTAAATGAAAGAACACATCTAGTGCATGAACTTGTACATGAAAAGTCATCCCTCTGTAATAAAACTTTTTTTTTAACCTCCTGAGCTGGACCCAGCTGCTTTTCATACATCTATAACAAACTTTGTGCCAAATGAACTGCTTATATATTTTTCTAAACAAGCCCCACTTTACTTTTTCCAATCAGTCCAGACAGATGGCAAGTAAAGAAAACACTTCAGTGTCAATCTGGTGGAGACCGTCACTGAAGTGCTTTTGCCAAGAAAAAACAGACTAAACATTAATGAGGCCAAATAGAGAAGCTTGTTTTACAGGCTGGAGGTACTAGATTTCTCTGGACTCACAGAAACTCAATAGTAGCTTTAAAGTGCTTGCAAGGAAACACTTCTCCTCTTTCCTGCAGCACGTAGCAACCGTATTCTAACTGGGGTAGCAGTGTTCAGTCCTCACCAGAAAGAATGGGTATTATATTTCTAAAAACATTGGTGAGGAAGTGTTTGTTTTCTCTCTCTTTCTTTTTTTTTCTCTTGATGTACACAAAAGTTTTGGCACCCTTGTAATGAGTATATTTTCCACTAAAAAGAATGAACTTTGTGGAATTTGCCTACAATGTTACAAAGTCACTCCTATTGAAAGACCTCACTATTAAGTTTTTGAACACCATCTGAAATAATACCACTTTGGTACATATGTATTGTGTGCACACTCCAGCCTAATCTCTCTTGTACCTGCTTTTGTGCATGTATCTAATAATGCCAAGAAAAAGGAAAGAAGATTAGGAATATCCAAAATAAAAACTTTTTGACAAGGTGCTAGGTTTTTTCCTACAAGACAATTTTCAAGTTTGTATTATCCAGTATGCCTTGTACCTGAGATACAATTCCCTCCAACTACAGCCCTTGCTAAGACCTGACCAAATACAGTAATCACTGAAGCAAAATTAGTCTGAGTGTAGCATATAAATCTGTGATTGCCTCAGGAGGTTTCAGACAGGTTGGTTAGATCCTTGGCATCCAGGCTTCCTCAACAACAGAAGGATCAGTTAGGCAAGAAGTACAGAGTGTATAAAACAGGTTTTAAAACAGTTACATTCACTTTAAAGCTTTATCACAAAACTGTCAGCAGTTATCTGTATGTCTCAAACTTAGGGCTTTTTGTAGAAAACAATTTCTTAAGACACTCAAACACTGTTTTTATTGGTAAGTTTGAGATTCTCTTTCCTATGAAGGAAAAAGGCTGCTTGACAATTTGTAGTTCTGTTTTTAAGGCACCTAAACTCCATGAGAAAAGAGGAAGCACGACAGGTCCATGCACTATTCACATTAACATTGCCTTCTTCAGTAACCGGTGCAGTTGCTATTGTGTCAGGTGAGACATGTAGAGTATTTTGAACTATCAAGGCAGAATTGCACTGAGCAGTTTCCAATGGTCAGAAAGATCCAAAGATAAAATGGGCTCACTATATTACATTTCTCACTGCTTTCACCTTTCATTCTTCAGCACTTCTTTTGTAATGCTCCTTCCTCATCTTGTCTTTCTTAATACAATGGCTTTGTAGGTATTTTCCAAGATATCTAGCCATTTGAGGATGAATTGCAAGGTTACATTTCCTCTTCTGTACATCTTAAGCAGTGGCCCAGATTTCAAGGAGGACAGCATGTCAGATGGAAAACATCTGGACATCCAAACTGATGTGTGATGATCACTGTGGAGACTGTGGCAACATTTGGTGGAAGTGTAGCTCTTCAGAAAAATTTTACCCCTTTAATAGAGAAAATTATTTTTAAGCCTAAAGAACCATGAACAGACTGAACTATTTGCCCTCACTAGCTCATTACGGTGTTGGTTTGCGTTATTTCCCCATAAGAGTAATTAGTTTATCAGTGTTTTCACCAGACACTGTAATTTCATGCCAAAGCAGATACAAGTCTAAAGAAAAGGATCTAAAGATACAGATATAGATAAATAATCAAGGATCAGTTTAAAAGATATATCCAGAAGACAAAGCTTCAAAAGATGCCGTTAACTAGATTGCTTTGTGGTAAGGACATTCAGTAAACAGATTATCTCTAATAAACTTATCCTGTATTAAACCACTAAGGAGTCGATGCTGTGATAAGACAGTTTTCAAAGGCAATGAATTATAGACATGCAATCCTAGGCAGGGAGCAGAGCAAGCTTTCCCTTCTCCCACAGTGCTACTCAGTGGCTCCCTGCACACATTTTAACTGCTGGTGAACAAAGACACTCAGGTTGGTGCACCAGGTAAGTCACTCTGGTAAAAGCTGATCAAATTAAGCATTAGAAAATTGTTAGACAAGACAAAAAACTCACCGCTTTCAAAGCCATCTGTAGAGTTTTCAGCACTTTCACAGAGGCATGGGAAGCACAAACCCAGTGAAAACTCTGCCTGAGAGCAGAAGTGTCCTCCTCAGATATTTCAATCTGGAAGAGAGACATAACGGTTTCACCAACACTCAGACATCAGTAAATACATAATGATAATGGCAATAACTGCAAAACTCATCCAAAAATAGCAATATGGTTTTTCTTTCACTAAAATTTTAAAATCAAGAGAATTAAATGATCAGGAGTGAAGGGGCAAAAATGACATGAATACAAGTTGCCAAAAATACCAATTCAGTCAAATCTATGGTATTTACAACCATTTTTTGAACTGGGAGATGCATTAAGACTTGTGTAAGTCATGAGACAGCTTCTAATTTTCATGTTGGAAGAGGTCACACTATTTCTGGGGCTCCCAAGTGTTCAGTTTGCAGACAAGTCCCTAGACATACTGCATTTGAATTCTGAATACACAAAGCATTATCCAATTTGTTAAAAACGTTTCTATGACTGCAATAACAAAGTCAGCATTGATACAACATCATTTGCTGCAAGCTATAAGGAAATCATTCCATCACTTCCAGCACCTGCCAACACATACTTGATTTATGAAAAGGTCAGGGAGCAAAGAAATTCTCAAACCAGTGAAAAACATGTGAAATAATCAGAAGGATGTCTAGCTAATAAAAGAAGATTACAAACGCTGAAAGTAGACAGGCACAATAAAGAAAGGAGGCTGGTAAACAGAAAGATTTGGGAAAGTTGAAGCAATTACCCATTAAGAAGTAAATTCTTGAGTCATGTTACAAATCAGCATGTCCTACCAAATCTAAGTAGGAATGTGCCAATTAGCAGAGCAAACATTCCAGTTCTGAGAATATCTGCCTGTAATGGCAAATCTTGGAAGGCTAAACAGCCAGCTTCAAGCTGTGGACTCAGATGGTGGTACCAGAGCTCCAGCCAATTTTCAGGGTATCTTTCAGAGTCTGGTTGGGCAAACAGCTCTAATGATGGTTGAGAGACTGGCTGTCATGCAAAGCGGTGAGAAACAGCTTAGTGTTTCCATAAGCTTTCACTATGTATTTTTCCACCCTTCAGAAAAAGCATGTTTGCTAAACACAAATCATGTAACCTTGTTGTCGTGGATAATGCATTAATTATACAGTTCTACAATTAGCAGCTTCAACTTAAAAATAAAAAAAAAAAAACTTCACAGGTTTGCAGGCTGTCACAAGAAAAATCCACAAAGTGTTTCTTTCTGTTTACTTAATTTGCTTGTGAAGTTACTGTGGAAAGAGAAAAATAATGATGCATAGAAAAAAAAACCTCCTGAGAATCCAGTCATTGATTAAAAAAATGTTAATTAAGAAAGCCTTCAGAATGATATCTAATTTGGCATACAGGGAAAAAAGCATCTAAGAGAGAATTAAAGGCAAGTCCCATGATATAGATGCTTTGGTTTGGATTAAACTGCTAAAAGCCTCAGACTTTAAACACTGTAGAAAAAAAAACATACTCTACATATACCAGAGGGAGTATTAGCATTGTAGGGAAAAAACTCTATACAATGTGATAGCTTATAATTGCAAAGACAGTGGAAATAAAAAGTTTAATAAATCACTTTTCTTCCAATGTTTTTGCCTTTAAGACTTCTCTCCTTTTTGGCTCAGGACTTATTTAAACTTCAACTGCAGTATAACAAATCTTTATTCTGCAAGCTTCACTGTCTGGCAAGTTGTTGGAGAACGAAATTTTGATATATAAATGAACAAACACGAAACCTACATTACAACAATTACAACACACGCCCTCAGGCATATTAATCCCATAGCTGGTAAGTCGGACCTAATTGTTTCCTCATACTCTTTACCTTGAGCACACTCAGGACAACGTGAATTCCCTTCCCCATAATGGGAATATATCAATAAACACTATTAAGATCCATGAGCTGACTGATTACCCAGAGTGTGAGGAAAGGGTGAACATGCTGACACATATAGGAAGTAGATTCAGGTTTGTGAGGGCATATAAAGGATCCATAGAGGCAGACAAGTACAAGCTGAGAGTGTTTGAACAGAATTCCACTGCTCCCCCAAATCTTACATTACCACAGTATTGTAACAAGAAGATTAATAGCCTCCTGCACACATTGGTTACCACACATCACATCAGGCTGACAATCCATACACATTGCACAAGCGAAAAAGGAAATGGCTGATGTAGAAAACATTCCAAGGGTTTCATATTTGTGGAATTTCTCTTTTGCATTAGGCAATTCCTTTATTTCAGTAATTCACAAAGAGGTTACACATGCATCCTGAAAGGGCAGACTCAGCCAAAACAAAATGCTCAAGTGAGCATCTTTATTTAGCATTGTAGATATAAAAACATTTCCAGCCGTGCCAGCATATGCTCAGTATCAAGTCGAAATGTGCCCCAGATTTTTTTCCTCCTAAAAAGTGGGCAACATAGCCACAGAGGAAACTATGCATATATTTCCTCAACGTGGGTTTCTGTGGAAATCCTATCAGCAACTCTGTCTGGTTTCTCACAGTGATTCATCACCGTGCTGGCCCAGGAGGCCAGAATGATGTAAACTAATCTGGAACTTTCAAGGAAGCATAAGGAGCATTGGCACAAAGCTCTCATCAAATTTCATATATTGGCTAACTCGTTTACACCCCTCCAAAGTCCCCAACGTAAACTTCACATTTTAAGCACAGGTAAATGTTGCCTGCCGACCATTAACTACTGCCAAAATAACAACTGCTGCATATGCTAATGCTCCTTTTGAGAGGATCAGTGGCCTCTGGGGAAGCAACCAAACAGACATACTGATGCCTATGGATTTTTGGATATCAGAGATACTGATGCCTATGGATTATGGATTATGAGGAAAGCATGTTCACCCTTTCCTCACACTCTGGGTAATCAGTCAGCTCATGGATCTTGATAGTGTTTATTGATATATTCCCATTATGGGGAAGCGAATTCATGTTGTCCTGAGTGTGCTCAAGGTAAAAAGTCCGATGGAAACAATTAGAGTCCGACCTACCAGCTAATATTGTTTATAAAGCCTGGGAGCAGCCAAACCAAGCCCTTTGAATCCAAATAACCCTAAACTTTGAGCTCAGAAAAAGAATAAAAGTCACACTTTATTTCCAGATCTGGATCCTTTCTTTAGTGAGCTGAGCACAAACCAGATCCAATTGTCTTTCCTTTTACTAAAAGGAGATCCTGCTGTAGTAGCAGGGCCCTGCCAAGAGAAAAGTGAGGGTCCAATATTTTTGCAAATCTCTGCCTTTGAGGATTTGATTTCTCAAACTCATACAGTGACTTAGCAGATCTCTAGGTAGGTATAAAAATTTCTCATAATGGCATTTAAGGAAGTGAGAAGATAACTATTAAGATTAAGGGCACCTTTATCTGAGGCACATAGAAATAAAGTATTTTCAGCCCAAGACAATGTAGCCGAAATACTCTTGTTAGAGGGAAAAAAAAGTGGAAATCTCCAAACTCCATAAACAAAAATGCTGAATTAGAAACATTTTGGGGGGTAACTCTCATATGCACCTACGTTCTTTGGCAGTATTTTGGATACATACAGGAAATTTCAGTGTAAGCTCAGCCAGCATAAAATCCTTCAGTATTGCCACAATGATAACAATTTTCCAAGCATCCAAACTAAAAATACTTGATTAATTTTTTTTCAGATTACCACTGCCCTTTCTTTCTAACTGAGAACTATGAAACAGAGGCCTAACTTTCCAGATTCTACTACTAATGAGTTGTGGGCATAAAAATATTTCACTTTGAACATATGACAACCCTAGGGAAGAAGAGGGATCACACTCACAAAACCTCCAAATATGTCAAACTTTTGGAAAAAAAAAACAACCAGACATTAAAAACATCAATAAGGAAGTCAAGAAGTTTTAAGTAAGAAAACCAGACCTTTTTTCCTCAGTTAAGGTCTTCAGATCTCTAAAGAATATTTTATAATCCTATTTATGCTATAATTTATTTTAATGCTCCTCATCACATGTCTTGCCTTACCTATATTGCTATACCAGCAGAGACATAACTGTAGATTACAAAAATCCCTGTACACCTTAGGACTGGATACTTTCAACCAAGCAATTATTTCTCCATGGTTTAAATACACACATAGAAAACAATCTTAAAACTCCTTGTTAATTCTGTATTAGTTCTTTTTTCTTCAATTCATTCAGACATCTAAGAATAGCATATGGGAAAAAGATATTCAAATGTATGCAAATGTATATACACACATATTTACACAAATACAGCTGAGTTTGGATAGATATGATTCAGCAGAATGGATAGGAAACAAAATATAGTTGCCAGCTTCCCCTATAGTCCCCAATGGCATCGGAACAACACGAACCAGTGCCATCATCTCCAAATCGTGAGCACTCTTTCTGGTGATATGACCCTGAAAACTACCTTTTTTTCAGTGCCAGGACCCCCACTGCACTGATATCAGTGTCAAGCTGGTTTCTTAATACCTCCCTTTTCTGGCCCAGCTCACTTTATCTAACAGAGCCCATTGCTAAAGAGAGGGAGGGCAGACCTGTAGGTGCTGGGGCTCAGGAAGGGGCAGCAGCAGCCCCAGAGTGCCACTGGAGCACCTGCTCCATAGCCCAAAGGAGGCAGACCCAAGGGAGTTGCATCAAGGCTCCTGACCAGGTTTGAAATGTGTGTTCTCTTGAGAGTTAGAGTCCTCCACAGTTCTACAACAAAGAGGAAGGAAAAGACAAGGATTTGTCTGGAGTTTTATGTTATTTAAAGAATCGCTTGTCTTTTAGAAGAAGAATAAAATATTAATTTTTTAAGTGGTGTGTTTTCACACTGTTACAGTGTTGCTCATTAAGCTCATTCTTTTGGTTGCCTTCCCACAGCTAGAAGGACAAGGGACTACACCAGCTAAGAGCACAACAGGAATCACAAAGGCTTGATCATGGCTTACATGATGTCCTGCTAGCACAGGAAAGATACAGTTCAGAAATTCTCTGATGCTTAGGGGAAGACACCACTGCTCTCACTCCTCTGTGAAAATCCCACATGCATCTGCCACA